TAGAATGCTTTGGATGGTGATGCCCTTATCAGAGAAAGCAGAGAGAAGCACATAGTGATCAATAAAAACAATAAAGTCCGTTATAAGCAATTTATAGATTTATTCAGTGTTGAATTAAAAAAGTGGATGACCAGAGAGAAGCCACCCCCCAACCCAGCAGACAATATTATGAATCAAGTACTGAGAAGAGCCCTCAGCCCCATCAGGAGGCTGAAGCAAGTTGATAAGGAATTTGAGGCCTGGCTGTCCTACACTACACAGAGAGTTACATAGGTCAGCATGGACAACAAAGTAACATCCTGTTTCAAAAAAAATGAATGTAAAAGTAGTTAGTTTGGATTATTATTTATAATTATTACTACCATTCAAATTGTTTCCTACCATTTCAGACTTAAGGGATTTTAATAAGTTAACTACCAGCAAATATTGCCAGACAGTCTCACAGCTAACAAATACAATAAATAAACTTGTACCAAAATGGATGATCAAGTAAAATTTCTTCAAAGGTGATTCTGTTCCAGATATAAGACTGCCTCCAGGTAGACAGAAGAAGCTGTGATAGACTGTCCTTGATTAGATTCTTAACTTGGTCAGAGCTGGCATGAAGAGACATAGGTAAGCCAGTAAAACACAAGATATTAATGAGTCTCTCTTAATGTCAGGGCCACATCAGAATTACTGCCTTCTTGGAAAGTGCTAGATACTGCCCCAGAGCACATGCTTTTGTTTTCCCTGCACTATTCACTGTGAGAACTGAATGGCAGAAAAGCATTTGAAATTTAGCTAGTCTAGTTCAAATTGTTCTTTAAATGTAGTTTATTCCAGATTAAAAATAGTTCATACGAAAAAAAGTTAACAAAGTATTTTCACATTACTTATTGAAATATTTGTTTATCCTAGACTGACAGTATTAAAATACATTTCAATTTTTTTAAATTCTAAATGCAAGATTAGAAAATTTCAGTTAAATGTTTCATATACGTTTGTGGAAAATTATTACTATATAGAAAATAATGGCTCGTAGATCAGAAGCCAAAAAATGGAATCCTTAATTTTGCCAAGCCTCCATTGTTAATCTCTATAATTGGAGTAATAGTAACACTCACCTCAATGTGCTATGCCAGGACTGTTGTGAAATAAATGTGTAATAAACAGCTACTGTGTTTGGCATACTACCATAAGTACTCAGGAAATGCTAGATCTCAATAAGTGATGTTACCACCTGCTCCTAATCCCTGATCCATTCTCTGATAGTATAGTCCTGCATTCATGGCTTTTGTTCATCTCCAGCTGGAATTTCAAATATAAAGCTATTGTCTACATTTCCTTTCAGTTGGTAGAGCTGAATTACCTGTTACCTTTAGGCCCAAGGGAAGTAATCCTATATCTTATTATTGAAAATTATAAAATTAGTAAGGATGGATATAAACTTGAAAAGATAAGAAGACTGTTACCTCAAGGTTTGCCATATTGGCATGATGATTATCTTCAACTGATAATCAGCAGATTGAGGAAATATCTGTTTTTTCCTAGCCTACCTAAAATCAGAATAAATTTGCCTTGGGAAGGAATCTCCATTCTTATACTTGGACATGGAGAATGATTCCTACCACTCTGGATATGGAAAGCGTAGTGGCATGAGGCCTTACTCAGACACCAACACTGTCAACAGGGTTTGAATATCTGTCTCCAACTAGTTTTCACCAACTGTGTCATCTTTTGAAACTTGAACCCTACTTTCCTGGGCTACCATAATTGATTCGAAGTTGCTCAGTCTAACTTCATCTTTGAGTTTCATTCATTTCCTGTGAACTCTTTGCTTTTAAATATGAATGAACTTCACAATTTTTTCTCCATTCATCTGAGCTGAATGAGTTTACAGGTCACCAGATAACTCAAAAGTAAAGGTAGACAATTTAACAAACATAAACCGAGAAAAGTTTTCCTAAACAGACCAACTTATAGCCTTAAGATAAATAGCTGGTCAGACCTAAGCCAGTCACTAATTGAAGCACTTGTTTTATAAGGAAAAGAGGGAAAAGGTTAAAAAAAAAAAAAAAAAAAAAAAAAACCAAAAAGATAGGGAGTTGTAATATTGCATCTAAAGGCTATGGGTGAGATAATTTTTTACCTCTCAAATAATTAAAAGAAAGTATTCCATATAAAAGTACAGACCAGGACTAGATATATAGCCACAACTAGAGATCATTTGTCTAGCATACACAAGGCCCGAGTACCAAAATTGAGGGAAATTTATAAAAGGAAAAACAATCTACAAAAATATGTTTCCTATATTTGGATCAATTTTAAATATCAAAATCCAATAAACTGAAACCCAAAGAAGCATTGAATGAAAATCATAAAAGCAATTATCTTTTGTGGGGAGGATTATTCGCATATGACTCTTGGAGTGTAGAAATCAAGCAAATGTATAGATTAGAAAATATGGGAAGAAGATGCACTATAGTGGATAATTTGAATAGTTCCATTACTTTGAACTTTGTTGTTATATTATTTATTTATTTACTGGTGATAGAACTCACTACAGAAAAGCATGCTGCCTTCACAAGGCATCAGTCTTTAAACGTCATTTGTGGTTTTAGTTGAAGTAACACTTTTGTTGTCTGAGTGTTTGGTTGCTTTGGTTTTTGTTGTGGTGGTTTGTATGTGCATTTGTTGTTTTGGTTAGGTTTGCTTTGTTTTTGGCAAAGTCTCTCTCCATAGCCCTGACCTTTCTGGAAGTCTGTATGAAGAGCAGGCTGACCTTGAACTCACAGAGATCAGCTGCCTCTACCTCCCAAGTGCTCAGATTAAAGGTGTGATGACCCATACCTTCTTCTGGACAAGATTTTGCTAAGTAATTCAGTTACTCAAGATCCTCCTACTTTAGTGCCCTCAGTGTTGGCTTTACAAAAGTGCCACCTCACCCTGTGCTATATTTAGCATCCACAATTATATCCCTGGTTGCTACAACTTGATTTAATTCAGGTCAGTGATATATTTCCAGTGACAGGAGTTCACATGGCTCAGGGAGGAACTGGGAAACTCCAACAAGAGATGAGGAAATATAGCTTGCACAGCTTTTATCTAGGGCCTTCCCTGTAGTTTTGCTCTATTCTACCCTTTGGCTTAAGAGATTTGGTTTCTACTTTCTGATGGCTCAGAAAAGGCCCCAGTCACCTGACAGCAGGTAACCTCTGCTCCTGGAACTCAGTTCCATCTTTTAACTATTTTTTAATTGTGAATTGTTTAGTTTTAATTCAGGGTGTCAACTATGCAGCCCTGGTTGTCCTAGAATTCACTAGACTATGATTATCTAGAACTCACAGAGATCCTGCTGCATGTTTCCAGATGGCTGGGATTCGTTTTGCCATCACACCCAGCTCAATTCCATTTTGAATAAAAAATTTCTGATTATCTCAACTGAGCCCAAATAACATCAGAAACACTCAGACATTGTCTTCATAATTTCAGAATACAATACATTAATTAACAGTGCGTATTTTAAACACTCTCATCATAAACAAAGAACGACAGCAGAGGCCTGAAGTCATCGTGAAGCTGTATTTATGTCTCCACAGCCACAGGTAGCTAACCGTACACAGGAAATAGTGCATATCCTGGACTAATATTCACTGCAAGTAAAAAAGCAAGCAAACAAACAAAAAACCATAAAAAGATGCAGTATAAAAAACAAAAATTGTAGAATATTACCTAATTTATATTCATTTTACATTAAATGACAATATTTTGGATGTAGTAGATTTAAAATAGATTTACTTATTTTTTTTCTTATGAATAGTGCTTTTAGATTTGGAAGTTTCATATGTGTTATATCTGTGCTCACCTTATGTTTCGATGGCAGACTTGTCCTAAAATTGTTGATTAATTTGCATCAATAACTAAGTAGTTTTAATGTCCACTTCCTGGGATATCCCTAAAGGAATCAAATCTCATAAAGTGTCATTGCCAACAGTAATAAAGGTAAGTTTATAGGATTAAAAATAAAAAGAAATGTTAAGAAATATTTGGAGAAGGTTTAAAGATGTTTAGGGAGATAACACAAATACCTGAACAGAAAGAAAAACATTTTGTTATTGTTTTTGTTGTTCCTTAAGAAACTTCATGATTCTTTTTAAAACAAACTCAATAAAAATGCCAAGAAACTTTCCCGAGTGATGGAATACTAGAGAATACATTAAGATACATATTAAACACAAAAATGAAAAGGAAGGAGGAGGAGAAGGAAAGGAAGCAAGGAAGATATGGTGACAAAAACCTGTAACCCCAGCTATAGGAGGCTGAGGCAGGAAGGTCACAAGTTTCAGGCCAGTTTGGGCTACAGATAGGATGAGGCCTATTTCACAAAATAAAAAGTAAAAACAAGTTGTGGAACACCTGATACCATGTTCAGTACCCTGGACAACTAATGAACTATTAAGGGAATAAGAAATAAGAAATTACTTATTTCTATTGAATTTATATGGCATCAGTTTATTATCAGTACTTGAATTCTTGCTATGTGTTAAATACCTTCCACACTGAATGAAGACTATAAGTCTACCTTAGAAACTACCAGAAAGACCCAAACAGAAACTTTACCCCAGGAATTTAGCCTATGGCAAACATGAAATTACTACAGCTGGGAAGAATTGAGACAGTTCACAGGTAGTCCTGAAGGTGGGGGTGTGGGGGTGCGGTATGGGTCTATTTACTATGCCTTACGGGGGGGGGGGTGTTCATTTAAACCGAGGACTCAAAACCACAAAGATTTTCCTTTCTTGATCTCCTGGCTTTTCCAGATGATTAACGCCTGGGATACTGAAATAAACACTGGATCCATTGCTGTGGAAATGCTTGTTGGTTTCTAAAAGGCATGCTTCCCACCACTATGGCAAACACCGGCAATAATCCAGGCTTCAAAAAAATCCTGTTAAGATTTAGTGCAAAACGGAATTCTCCATCACCTAATCTAGGAGAAAAGCTGAGGATATCAAACATGAAAATAAAGGGCTCTTATTTAAAGCATCCCAATACACCTTCAACAGATAGTAATTTATTCAAAGCGTAGCAAGAAACCTCAGTATTAATAATGCAAGGTCGATCGTTACAGTTGACACACATCTACAACCTAAACATTTCAGGAAGCCAGTTTGAGGACCATCTAAAATGAGACTGTGTGTCAAAATAAGGCAAAACAAGTCTAACAATCGGTAAGTCGCAAACAAAACAAAACAAAAAAAAAAATGGCTGACCAAGGTTGTGACGCAGTTTGACCCATCATCCTCTTTGAAGCAAACAAACCGAAAGTACGAGAAACATTAGTCCCAGGTCCGGAGTAACTGGGCGGGTGGGTCCTTTCCATAGACATTTAAATGTCTACGTTAAGGAAGTCAGCTCGTTGGCTGCACCTGATCTCCCAAGCTTCGCGACACCTTAGGAAAAGATGCTTTTCTCCACACAAGAGAAAGCTTCCGGAGACCGCAACACCGATTGGCGCCCAATCAAACTAAGGACTCAAGTCTGGGGCGGGAGTGAGCCAACCCGCAAGCAAGGCGCAACTTTCAAACCACCTAGATCAATACTGAGTAGTGCCTAGGGTTACCCTTGGCTATCGACAGCCGTGGAGTGGAGCAACAGCACTGAACACATCCTCACTCGCACAGTACAGGCACCATCTTAGGGTGAAATAGGGAGTCCACCCCGCGGGACTGACTGGACTGCATCCCATGCAACCTGCCTGCGCAGAAAGTAAGGGGAAGGAGGTAGTCACCACACAAGTGTCACAGCTCTGTCTTCAAGTGGGAGTGGTGGCTCTGAAAAGAGCCTTTTGGGTTTAAGGAGGAAGACAGCCTACTTCTTCTTGGCTGCAACCTTCTTGGGTTTAGCAACCTTGGGCTTGGCAGCCTTTGGCTTCACGGCCTTAGACGCACTCTTGGCTTTCTTAGGCTTGGCAACTTTAGCCTTCTTTGGACTCTTGGCCACTTTCTTGGTCACGGCAGCCGCCGCGGGCTTCTTCGCCTTCTTCGGGGTCTTCTTGGCGGCTTTCTTGGGGGTGGCAGCACCAGTCGCCTTTTTAGGCTTCTTGGCTGCACCCGCGGGCTTCTTAGCCTTGGCCGCGCCTGCCTTCTTGGCTTTGGGCTTGGCCTCGCCGGAAGCCGCCTTCTTGTTGAGCTTGAAGGAGCCGGAGGCGCCGGTGCCCTTGGTCTGCACCAGGGTGCCCTTGCTCACCAGGCTCTTGAGCCCCAGCTTGATGCGGCTGTTGTTCTTCTCCACATCGTAGCCGGCGGCCGCCAACGCCTTCTTGAGCGCAGCCAGGGACACGCCGCTGCGCTCCTTGGAGGCGGCCACAGCCTTAGTGATGAGCTCGGACACTGGGGGTCCGGACGCCTTGCGGCGAGCCCCTGCCGGTTTCTTGGCAGCCTTCTTCTTCGCAGGCGCCTTCTCCGCAGGAGGAGCAGCAGCAGGGGCGGCAGGAGCAGTCTCCGACATGATGAGGATGCGAATCTCAGGAACTAGTGGCTAGACACCGATAGTGTAGCGCGGGCCCAGCCGCCGTATATATAGAGCGCAGGCGCGCGCTGATTGGTGCTCCGGCGGCCTGCCTGGCTGGCAAGCTCAGAGCAGCCGCGCTGCGCCCAACTTGTGTTTGTTACACTTCACAAAAAGGAGAAAATATTAAATTGTCTTGCTCCAAATCTCCCAAGTTTGGTCGGTAAAGGATCCGAGAAGCCTCAGGCTTCGGAATATCTCTTTATTTTTTCCTCATTCCCAAAGACAACGTACATAGAAGTCCCTAACTCCCCCAACTCCAAAGGAAGTCCCAGGCAAATAGAGACCACTTTCTGTTTTTCTTCTAAATTACCTGTTCGCTCCTTTGCCCCTGAAAGTTCTTTTTCTCAGGGATTATAGGACACATGCTTCCCTTAATTTAGGAACAAAAATGAAGTGATTTCCGCTTAAATTTCCACGATTATTCTATTTCTTCGCAAGGGAAGTAACACAAGTCCTTAGTGACTTCTGAGGACGGACCCACCATAACCCTGGACTAGGACGTGGATTTCCAGTCTAAGGCAGTTTGGGCAGGTTGAGAGGGGGTTCGTAGACCTTGAGAGTGTACCATGTGGTGGGGGTCTTAGGACTTAAATATCTTATTTAAAGACACGATCAAATTCTTTTCACTGGTGGGGGCGGGGCACCCTTTTCACTTCTCCAAAGGGGGGAAAATTGAGCTGTATTTTTAAAGCTCTTAGTTCCCCTCTGAGTTTTGCAAGGTAGGGGGTCTAGCCTTGAAGAATAGTGAAAGTAAGAAGGGAAAGGATCCCCATAAGTCTGCGTAAACCCCCCCCCCCAGTATCAATTAGAGACTGAAGGATCTATTTTATAACCAGGAGCAAATGTTTGATTATTTTGCTGCAACACAGAATTTCTAAATTCCTAATTTAGAGATAGTTTGTCTTGGTACAGGAGGGCCTTCTATATTTGGAGACAGTAAGGTAAAGATGGAAATAGAGGCACTGACTTTACTAAAGGCTACGTTTGACTTAGATTTGATCAATCTGAAGATTTGAAATAGAGGATGGAGGGAATTTTTAACTGAAAGATAAGAAACAATGTAAGTAGTGGAGAGCTCTGTGTCACCTCGTCTCAGCTTTTCTGAATAAGAAAATCTGTATTCTACTCGAATTTGCTTTGTAAGTTTACACTCTTTAGCTTCATATTTCATCATTAAGCACCAATTAATATTTTTGTTGTTGTTGATAGAGAAAATGGCAGGCAAACTCTCTACTGCTATAATTAATACAATTCAATATTTAGGAGCAAAGGAAGTTCCCCCAATTCTATCAGAAATCTCTATTAAAGTATATGTATACAAGAAAACATGTGAAGTTGTTAGCATTAAAGAGTGGTAAAGTAACAAGGTTATACAAATTGAGTTCAGGGGTGTTTGCAAAACAAAGTGTATTTTCTGAGATTGAGAATGAGCCTGTGGTTTCACTTAGTAACATTTGTTTAGTGTTTGGAAACAGCATATACTAGGCTTGCTCCTCTGGGAATTAACGGCCTAATGAGATTAGGGATGAATGAACTACCCACAGTAGAGCTACTTTAGAATCTACATCCTGTGTGGACTTTGAAATGGGAATTGTAAGACATTCTAAAAAGTATATAAACTACTGAAGCACATTCAATACTAATATGGTTTACTAACAGAAATAAGAACATGTCACTTGCTCTGATTATGTGGGGAATGAACGGATGAATGCCTTTTTCATCTGATAAGTGTTCATCTCCCCTGGGAAAATAGCTGTGTACCATCTACCTCCCCCATGCTCACTTGTCTTCCCTTCCCTGTAAATTAGCAACTTATTTTTAAATCCGAGTCTGTGATTCCTTTATTTATTATGACCCTTCAAGCTGAGTCACTCAAATCATAGCTCTTTAAATGCAATTTGCTAATAATTTTGCCCAGTGTAACTGCAAATGAATTATTTGCAACACAAAAGATAACCCCAAAAGTTGTTTGTATTGTACAATACTAAATTGTATCTCTAACTTTTCAGTCTTTACGCAGCACTCTTTCCATCCCTGAGAAAATCACACTTTATCATCCTGTATCCTTTGAACTAACTTTTGTCATCCAGCTTGCTTACTCACTGATGAGTCCAACCATTCTTTGACAGGTATATGAGATTACCACATGTGGTATTTAAATGTGAGTCATATTTTTAACTATTTGAAAATTATACACTGGTGCTTGATTAGTCAGCTTGCCCTAAGGTCATCCAATTAGAATCTTCAGAAGTCACCCTCTAAAATGGGAACATCAACTTTAAAGCACTCATGGAGTCTTAGATTTTGAAATAAGTTGAATAAGCTTGTGGGAAAGAAAACTTTTATTAATATGAGTTCCAAGCAAAAGTGCAGATTATAGATATGACCTTCCCATGAAATGAGGACACTGATGAAACATTGTGGTGATTGTCATGTAATCTTGTATATTTGTATGTATGATGAAGATTGCACATAGCTAGGCTTTTGTCATGTCATACTGTTCAGGTTGTGTTCCCATGCTTGGCAGAATTAAATTTATAGATAATGTAATATCTAGTTTGTAAGGATCTGGAGAAAAAAAAAAAAAGCTTAACAGCCAGATACATTCATAGGAGGGTAAGAGTAGTTAGGACAAGTGTAAGGAATGCAGGCTTACACCTTTTCTTTTCCATTTCCTCCTTCCAACGTGATGGAGTGGGGTTGGAACAGCTTGTACCTAGTTAACCATTATTAGTTGGCCATTGGATATCCCCTAACAGATACTAGTATATGTGTCAACTTTGATTGATTGGAACCTGCTTTTTCCTAACTCATCAAGGGATGATGCTAGAAGCCACAGCCATGCCTCCTTCAAAATGATGGCTGATGCACTGTGAGATACTTTGGGCAGCCTAAGAAAAGCTGCACAAGTGATGTCAAGAGATTTAGAGCCTTGTACTGTGTTTTCTCACTTCAGCTCATTTATACAATTAACATTAAGCAGTGTTTCTGTTATTTTTATCAGTCTCCTCAGGCAGATGACAAACAGTTACAAGATCAAACCTTTACTATGTTTTCCCCAGATATCTGAGCACCAGAGGGGTCAAGACCTAAGTTACTGAACTTCGTTCCCTGATGCACTGTCAAATGCAGTGGGAAAATGCACATACACAATGGTAGGAAAGCGAGGAACTTAATACAAATAGAGAATTACAAAAAGAGAGACACACTGCAGAACTTTCCCCTGACACTTTGGATTTAGAATTGCCAACTGAGCTCTAGAATATATGACCTCCTCTTCCTTCTTCCAACTTTCTTTTTTTTTTTTTCCAGAAAAGACTTTAAAACAATTTCAAAACCTCAATGCCACCTTCCAAAGATACAGATTTGTCAATCATGAGAATACACTTTTTTTTAACCTCTTCTCTCTAAGTCTCCTTACAATAAAAGCACAAGAGGCAGACATAAAATAGACACCTTGGCCAGAATATTATCTCACACAATGGTTGTTTTGTAGGAAATAAGATATAAAGACTGTGCTAAATATACTAAGACATTATTTTGTTGTCCTGGACCACCAGCATGCTGTGGACACTGCACTGGATGTTCTGAGCACTCACTTAAGCACAGAACACTCTCTGTGACGATAAACAAAGATCAAGCAAAGAGAGCTTCTCCTGTTGAGACCAGTCACCTACTGGGACAGACACAGACAAGCATTTCAGAGCAAGAACTCTTGATAGGAAAGCAAATGCCCAAAAGAAAAAGAAAGATAAGAAAGGAGGCTAATGTGTAGGCTAGACCTTTTCCTTAATCAATGAGAGATACAGCTGTGAAACTGTAACATAGGAGAACTGCTTAAGCCCAACACTGGGGATAGACCGGCAGGAGGACAGAAATTCAAATGAAAGTTCAGGCCATCATGTACTATGTGAAGCCTTTCTCAAATAGAAAACAAACAAGGAGAATAGATTAACAGAGTGGTCCTCAAGCTCTTAACTTCCAAGCCCTTTTCTACTCTGATAATTTAGCAAATCCTTTGAAAATCTTTTTATATATTAAATTTGTAGCATGTACCATTTTGGGAATTGAAGCACGGTATTACAATAGTAATCTGATAGTTGATAGCCATGATTTGATAATCCTTTAAGATACAAACTTAATTAAATGTACTTATCACCATATGCTATTCACATGCATGTTATGTATTCTACACTACAGATTTCTATTGAGTATATAAAGAAACCATACAATGTCAGCTGGAAAGTTCTTCATGCTTTAGCCCATTGAGATGTTCCATACTAGACTGACCCAAAATGTGTAACGTTGCTTGTGGGGGTAGAGGTTACAATTTGCTGGTGGTGATGGGGCTGGAGACACAGTTTTGAAGTAACCAGGCTCAGTTTTAATTCCACTTCCTCCATTCGTGTGCTAGGGACACTGCAACAACTTCCACTTAGAAATAGTGAGGGATAAGTATTGAGTGTCCCTCTTCTAGCTTTGGAGTAGGCTCACTCATTCACTCCTATTTAAGTTATTCCCATTAGACTATTAAGATATAAGAACCCTCTGTTGTGGGCATGATTCTGAGAAAGATGTCTTCCCCTGAGTCTTGAGAGGTGGATAAGAGTAGGTCAAGTCCAACAAGCTGTTTCATTCTTCCTGTTTATTTGTTCTTTTCTTAGATGCATTCCCAGGGTCCCAGATCCCAGGTGTTACCCTAATAAGAGGAAATGGTGCTAAACCATCACACATGGGAAGGAATGGTGTGTATATGTCTGTGTGTGCACGTGTGTGTGTGTTTGCACAGGTGTAAACAAATGTGGGGACCAGTAGAGGAGTAAGTAATGCAAAGCTATCACTCTCCACTTAAGGGTATGTCCTGACATTCATGTCCACCATTCAAGCTTGTAAAGACTCTCACATAATCCCTCTGTCCCTGCTTCCTCATTCCAGGATGATCATAGGTT